GTTTTTTTTTTTTTTTTTTTTTTTTTTTTTTTTAAAACCCGCGACTGCAAGGGGAGCTGTTTGCTCTGTGGATGCCTCTTTTTGGTGTTCTTTACTGCACAGTTTTTTTTTATTATTCGAATAAATATCCATTGCGCGTCGATTCTGAAGATGTCCGCGCTTGTACAATTGTCCTTACATTTTCTGTGACCAAGTAGTACGACATTCTTAACCCCAAAGACCACCAGGGTTGTCAAACTAACAATTCATCAATTTTTGTACAAACTCGAGTAAAAAATTGTTCGTGCAAATTAAGCAATTGACAATTTTTCTAGAAACTAATCAGTTTACAATTTTTCTAGAAATTGACCAACTCGCAATTCTTGTACAAACAAGATTTACAAAGATATATTTTTATACTTTATTTACAAAGATGTATTTTTGTCACTCGAGCGATAATTTACAAAATTATTCCACGCGGGATTACTTCCTTTCGCTGTTCCTCGTTCGTTTCGGTTCCCTTTTCGCACCGTCCTCTTGTCGCGAGCTCTTCGTCGGGCCCTCTTCTTCTCTGCGACTCCTCGCCGATCGCACCCTCCTCCTCCTCCTCCTCTTTCTTCTTTCATTCTATTTCTCTCCCCGCTCCCCTTGATCGCGCCCCTCCTTCACTCTCGTCCCGTGGTCTCTCCTCGTTTTATCTCGGCAACCTCGTTGAACTGGCTGACGGAGCAGGTAGAAACGAAGGTAAGGTGCCTTCATTTATATTATAATCCTCTCTTTCCCCCGGTCTCGTTCTTATGCATCGAATCCGGGCGACAACGTGCAGCCTACCTCTGCACAGATCCTCTTTCTCGCATCTTCCTCCTCCACCGTGGCGGCTCTCTCCTCTCTTCTCTTCTCTTTGACGATCCGTCTCTGATGTTTATTGGTCCTTCTTTTGTTTCCACGATCCACCGTTGTCTTTCCCGTGTTTTTCCTACTTTCTGCGGTTCGTGCAAAGCAGATATTGCCCCGACGTTGGCGTAGATCTACGTCGTTAAAAGTCAGCAGACCGCGGATTTTTATGCAGATGGTAGATTTCTCGTTAATGTGATTATCGAAGGAGTGGAATTTAGGAGGCAGCAGACACTGGTCAGCTTCTACACGTCATTAATATCACCATTTTTCTTTTTACGTAAATTTGGATTTTTGTTTAGATTTCTGTACAATTGGAGAAATGGAATCCAACGTTCAGTGAGCATTGATTCAACGGTCGATTTTCTATATTGTTAGAGTATTGTAAGAATCACTAAATCGTCGATACATATTTATATTTGTACAAAACATTGTAAGAATTGTCCACGTGACAATGGAGTCATGTGATTGATGACTTGACTGTAGCATCATATGACTTTCAACGCTCAATTTTTAGAAGTTGTAAATCCTTAACAAAACTTGCTAATCTCTGACGAAAGTTACTTCCGGTAGTAACCAGAGATTAGTACAACCTGTTAAATTCGTAAGTAACTGAGCGTAATCACTCGTTAATTAATAAAATAGGTACAAAATTGAACTTGAAATTCTTCATAAGTCTTTTTTTCTTTCAACTAAAGATATAAAATATATTAAAATATATATATATATATCAAGGAATAATGAAAAAGTAAAATAGAAACGATATTTTCAGTTTAGAAATACCACGTAGAAAGAAAATTCTAATGCTGATCGATATGTTAATTTCGTGTCTACGTTTCTCCTACATGCATATCTACTCGTAGAATTGCCACTCGACGCCAGCCGAGGCTGAAGAAGACCACTTAATTCGAGAATGAACTACATGTTGCAACTTCCATCGTCAATCAGTTTCCTAACGTCCAAAGCCGATCGCTCCGATGGGACAAAAACCCTCAATCACGGACAAAAAGTTCCTCTACAATTTACAGTTCCTCGTCAAGTATCTCATTGGCCATCGAATCGAGAGACAGAGAGAGAGAGAGAGAGAGAGAACGTTGCCAACGATATTCACCGTAATAATTATAATTCCCTCGGAAATCCGTGTCCGGTCGGTCCAGACGCAAACAGTCGAATGCAAGTTTCCGCGATTTTTCAACCCTCCTACCTCCCTCCCTTTCTCCTGCCCGTATGATCGCCATAACGCCGCAACGTCATCACGATAATATGTACGCGGTAAACACTGACAATTGCAGACATCGGTGCTACTAACAGAGACAGAACGAGACAGGCTGAATTGTCGCGAGGGTTGGCTACGCCATACAGGGCGTTTCACACAATTGGCGCAGGCTGTAGGTTTTGGAATGGCGGAGAAGAGACGGAGAAAGATCTCAATAATGGAATATAGAACGAATGTAGAATATTCATAGAATGCATGAGTGAAATGTAAAATTTACTACAGGGAAATAAAGATCTGAATCATTTTAATGATTTGTTTTCTTTGAAGATTACTTCGAGGATTTATGTCTTTTTTTTTTTTTTTCTCGATATAAAGGCGTTGTGTATTGTATGAAATTTGATGCAAGAGCTCAACGCAGAGAACGAAATTCTTTCTTTTAATACAGAAGTATTAACATAAAATTCGAAAGTCCCACCAAGATCGAAAATTGCACTTTACTACTTAATAAGCAGCTGTTAATATAGAGAATATTCGGAATATTGTAGGAAAATTCGGAATAGCTGAACCAACGTAAGAAAAACCCCTATTGACGCAAAAGGCATTAATATAAAAAAGAGACTCGTTACAAAAGTACAGAAGTTCCAATAAAATCACAATAAAATTCTTCTCTCGTTTAAAAATACGAGTGAAAATCTCGTTCAAAAAAAAAAAAAAAAAGAAAAAAGTTCAAAATAAAGTAACAGGCTGTACAGAATCCGCTGTAAAAATATAAAAATTCACTGTGTCTGTCGCCAGAACCGCGAGAGCCATCATTTGTCCCAGTTACGAGGAACACCCTGTACACACAGGAGCGAGAGGACAACGGTTGTACCAGCTACGTTGGCGAGATATCCGCGGAAAGAGGGAACACGGGAGAGGGGTTGA